GTTAAGGATGATGGAAAGATTGCTGTCATGTGAAATGATGGCAGTTTCAATGACTCAGATGATGATAGAAGAAGATTGTAATGAGATCGAGGGGGATTTATTAGATGCGATGTGGACTTAAATTCGATAAAAAGGTAGGTGGATGGATAAATGAGGATAATTAATGAGAATATGAAGGTGATGCTTGAGGAAATGAATGTAAATTGAGGAGAATATTGCCATTTGTAGAAGTAATCATTTACTATTATTAAAAATTCAAGGAAAATTTCCAACGTGCGCCATATTTAGGATACCAGTTTACTGTCTACCCCTAATATGACGCATGGGTCAAAATTTTGATTTTTCTGTTAATCAACTTGTCTCGATTTTAATTCTTTGTGCGTTGTATTTTGGGAAAAAGGATACTGTCTCTCCTGAATATGGCACACGGTTATGAAGCAACAAATCTTGACAATCCTCCACAACCACTATGAGGATCAGACATCCCCACCAATTCAAAGGCAAGGAATTAAAATTAAGCGATTCCCATTAAATTATGAATATTGCCATAATAAAATTTTATTTCGTGTCTTCTTCTTCACCACAGAGCAGCACAGCAAAAATAAATAACAATAAAAATTATTAAGAGCACTTTGAGAGCCTCTCACATATGCAGACAAATAGTCAGTATACAAAACAACATGTAATATCACATAACGAGATATTGAAAAAAGGAAAGAAAATGCGGCAAGACTGAAGAAATGCCGAATACAACAACAACAAAATCAGGAAGAAGAAGAAAAGTTTTCGTCTGCCATCAGCGCCAGATGTTTTTGTTGTTACACGTTATATTTTTTCCTGCCTATTCGTCTCACTCAGTGTTTTTTTTTGTTACTTGATATTTAATGATCGGAAGGAATGAAATTTTTTTTTGGAGAAATCGAAGTAAATTGTTTGTAATCGGAAGGATTTGGGAGGCATTTAGTGAATGTTGATGGGTGATTTTGAGGTTAGGATTCTATTTGTATACTGTCAAGTGACATTGACCTCAGATGTGAGGACAATTTGATGTTTTAAAGATTGACAAACTTCACAGAATGCAAAAAATTTAAAATGTGAGTCATTATCAGTAAACCACATTAAAGTCTTCCTCTTGAACATCCAAAACCACCCGAATTTCACCTCCCAAAGGTGTAAAAAGCTCACCACATGTCCAGATAATTAGAAAAAACGTCACAATACCCAAATGACCAGCCACTCAATCCATCAAAGTCAATGAAAAAAATATATGCTGACGATATGAAATTTTTGTGACATGTCAAGGCTATGTGCGACACAAATTGGCTTTTAACATTTTCCATTCTATATTTTTTTGCTACTTTTTACCTAATTTTTATTGCGTACGAAAAAAAAAATATTTGTGGCTTTATTCGAGTTAACGAGCCATGTGGGAATTTTTAAATGGTAGTGATGAAGGTGGATCAAGTGGAAGGGATATGTTGTGTTGTGTGGAATAGATGGATATCTGTGAAGGTTAGAGGAGAGGAATTGAGTGGAACTTGTGAGCTTTGGTAAGGTTTCGTTGAGGATAAAGCTAGTTCTTAAGAAAAATGGTTATTTGATAACATGCGCCATATTCAGAAGAGACTTTAAACTATATACTTGAATATAACGCACGTTTTCAACTTTTTATTGTCAAATCATCTTCATTGAGTCATTCTTGACCCCCAGATTTGATCCCATCAATTTCTACCTCACTTTCCGCAAAAATTATCATTCGAAATTATTCAAAATATACTTTTTTAAAATAGCCACAAAGCTAATAAGCATAAACAAAGCAAACATAAACACCAGCAAATGCTAATGAGACGATAATTTATGCTCAAGTAATAATCCTCAATTTTATTGACTATTCATTATCCAACATGTGGTGATGGTGTGTTTTATGACTGTGAAATAAGTAACTTATGAACGATACTTTCTATTTTATGGGTGGATATTATGTAAGAAAAAGGATTTAAGATGCTAAAGCGATGAGAGATTTGATGATAGATCGAGGTTGTTTGAGGTTAGAATTTCGAGATCAAGTGGATTTGGGGAAAATTGTCCAAATTTGATCATTTCTACCAAAATATTAATCCAAATTTTAAGGTTATGTTCCACCAAACCACATTTTTTGCATCCGAAATCCTAAAATTCAAGCCTTTCCACCCAACAAATCCCAAACAGACTCATATTCAGCCTACGCATCCATCTCAACAAAGCTAAAATCTTCAAAGTCAATGCCATTCCTCGCCTTAAGAGCAAAACAACTGCCTTGATCTCATTTCATGTTCTAGGAAGTAGCAAACCTTCAAACAAGAAAGATTAACAGAGTTAAGGTGCAACGAAGAAGCAGAAAAATGAATTCTTATAAGAATTCTCTCATGAAATGTGCAAAGTAAGAAAAAAAAGGAATTGAATATTTTTTAAGAGAGACACAAAAGAAAGAGCCGAAAAATAATTGTTCAATCCAGTTTTTGGGCAGCTGCAAAATTATTATTTGGATAAGGAGGATGAAGGAATTGAAAAGTGGTTGAAATGAATTTTTTTTGAGGACTAAAAGGAGAAGTTTTGGAAGTTTTGATGGAATTGAAGATTTTTTAAGGTTCTTTGAGGTTATGTTGAGGATTATTAGTGTAAAACATCATATGTGGTGCTCAATATTCAAGGATTTGATGATGTTGTGTCCCAAGTTGATCAATCATAGCCATTAAGTCAATTTTAGTATGAATTATTAAAAAGACTCATCAATTTCAACTCCTTTGATCCAGTCTGATGATTACTAGCCATTCTTACCGTCCACTATCATTATCTTCAAAAGACGATCTAATGATGACTCAAGACACACCTTAAAGCCCCAAAAATGCACATTGCAAGGAACCAATTTCCATTTATACCAATAAATTAACTTCAAATGCAATAAAAATTGAAGACATTTGAAATGAAAATTGATAATTGAAGACACAAAACTTAAAATTGATAAAAATTAAGCACGAGCAGGTGGAGAAAGGATGTAAAGACTCCAAAAAAGAAAAAAGGGAAACAATTTAATTAATCATTGACACAACAGCAGCTGATAAATGTCATGACAATAAAATATTTATAATAATGATGAAGTAACCTCAAGCATGTATTAAGTGCATCAACATATGATCAATTATTGAGCAAGAAGAATGAAGACAAATGAATGAATGAAGAGGAATAAGGAGAATTTGAAATATACTTAAAGGAATGAAGATGAGAGGAACAAGTAGGAAATGTTGAGGGGATGCGGGCCATTGAGGGACTTAAAGATTGAACTTATTTTTGCATTTTGACAATTTATTTGAAAATTTGACAATTTTATGATTTTTTTGAAATTTTATGATTTTTTTTGAAATTTTTGAATTTTTTTAAAATTTTTGAATTTTTTTGAAATTTTTGAATTTTTTGATATTTTTTAAATTTGTCAAATTTTTTAACTCATTTAAATGTTTGAATTTTTTGAACTTTTTTGATATTTTTGAATTTTTTTAAAATTTTTGAATTTTTTTGAAATTTTTGAATTTTTTGATATTTTTTAAATTTGTCAAATTTTTTAACTCATTTAAATGTTTGAATTTTTTTGATATTTTTGAATTTTTTTAAAATTTTTGAATTTTTTTGAAATTTTTGAATTTTTTGATATTTTTCAAATTTGTCAAATTTTTTAACTCATTTAAATGTTTGAATTTTTTGAATTTTTTTGATATTTTTGAATTTTTTTGAAATTTTTGAATTTTTTTTAAAATTTTTGAATTTTTTTGAAATTTTTGAATTTTTTGATATTTTTTAAATTTGTCAAATTTTTTAACTCCTTTAAATGTTTGAATTTTTTGAATTTTTTTGATATTTTTGAATTTTTTTAAAATTTTTGAATTTTTTTGAAATTTTTGAATTTTTTGATATTTTTTAAATTTGTCAAATTTTTTAACTCATTTAAATGTTTGAATTTTTTGAATTTTTTTGATATTTTTGAAATTTTTTAATTTTTTAAAATTTATGAACTTTTTGAAATGTTTGAAATTTTCCGCCATAAATTCAAAATATTAAAATCTTGCAGACACCATCCATTAATCCTCAGTCTCCCATTGCCAAAATACCATCCAGTAACACATTTTCCCATCAGAACCACACCGACAAAAACCCAAAAAAACTCATCAAAAATGAAGAAAAAACTAGAACAAGAAGGAATAAAATTAAGGATAAAAAAATATTCAAGAGAGAAGAAATAAAACGGGAAGAAGGGAACCCGAAAAAAAGGAAAAGAAAATCGAGAAGAACAGAGGGGGCAGGTGCAAGACGATCGATAGAAACATGAAGTCAGTCTGTCACTCATTTACTCAATTTTTTTTAGTTCAGTTCTGTTTGTGTATTAAGAATGAAAGAGAGGTGAAATTATACAAAAAAAACAGCAGATTGCATTTCAGGTAAAAACAGTCGATCCATGTTCCCCTTTTATTATCGGAGGTATAGAGCCACACCATGTGCTTTTGGTTCCCGCCAAATGAGACGTTTTTTTTGATTGAAGGAAGCTTCAATGATTTTTTTTGTGGTCTAAGGAGCAACTGGAAATCTTAATTTAAAACTTGAAATTGGAAATAATCAGATTAAGTCATAGAATACCCCATAGATGCAGTTTGTGAGCTAGTAGACATCCCTAGAGTCCAACCTACACTTATTGTACCTTGAAAGAGCTTACAGACACCTCTGGTACCTTAGTATGGCTCAAAGCCACCCTTAGTGCCCACAATGAGTCAATATATACTCCATATCAAGCCAATAGACATCATTTGTTGTCTAAATTGATCAATAGACACTCCAGATCCCTCATATGTATCCAATCTTATTTATTGACACCATTAGCACCATAGCTAAGTCAACAGCTACTCATTATCCCCGATATAAGACAGCAATTACCCTAAACGTCCCAAAAAAATAATTAATAATTTTCAACTCACCTTGTCGTCCAACAATTTCAGCAACATGCTCACTACTTGGTACGGGTACACACTCTGTCATATTCTGTGACTTTTTGCGATCATCAAAATGCACACCATTAAAATTAAGCATAGATGTGAATGCATTGAGTGTGCTGCCAGGTACAATACCATCTGCAGGCATATTAAGTAGTGCATTGGATAAGTCATTAAGTCCTTCGCCATTTGTGTTCGTTCCATTGCCGCCCATGTCAAGCATTGAGAGTTCGAGTGCCAATTTTTCCAATGCACGCTGATCGTTTAGATGATCGGAACCAACCTCATTGACACCGCCAATTGGCGATGATGGTGGTGATAGGAGACGTTCGGAGATTTCAAAAATTGATGTCATTTTTGGATTCGCCGGAAATTTTTTATAATCTTAAATTTTTTTCACTTCCGTACACACAAAAATTTTGAAATTATTTTAAATTTTATTTTTTTCTGTATCAAAAAATTGCTTATATTTTTTATTATTATTTTGGAAAATTTTGCTAGATTCTTAATTTTATTTTATTATTTTCTCCAGGGTTGTCAAATTTTGCACGACAAAAAAAATATTTTTTTTTATTCACCGCGTGCAGAGACAAAAAAAATTTTAATTTTCACAACTTTTAAGGGAGGAAAAAAGAAACGCTTAAAAAATTTTTAATTTTATTTAATCCTGTACGGCTGACTTTAAAAATTTCTTCTAATTTTTTATTTTATTTTATTTTAGAAAAAATCTTTTTATTTTATTTTTTGATGTCTGTTTCGAGTTATTTTGCGCGTGTTTATGGTACGATGAACTAACAAAGACTGAAATACATACAGGAAAAAAATTCTCGAGACGGCGAGAACTGCTTCTTATTATTCACCCTTCTTTTTGGTGTTGTTCTTATTTTGCCGCGATGCGTCGGCTGCTTGCTGCTCAGCTATCACTTCCCCTACTTTTGAATTCTGAGAGAATTTAGAGCGCAAATGTGAAAAATGTGATTGGAGATTTTTTTAAAATGAAATTTTCAACTTTTTGAATAATTTTTGAATTAAATTTTGGTTTTAAAAATTCAATAATTTTTTTAACTTTTTGGATTTTTTAATTTTATCAATTTTCAATCAAATTTTCATTTAAAATTTTTGAAAAATTTAAATTTTTCTTTTGTTGTTCAGCACAGAAAAAATCACAATTGAGAATAATTTTGAGGGGAATTGTTCTCATCTGTATAATCCTAGAGAGTGAAAAGGAAGTAAGTGACATCTAGTGGCGGGTATGGAAATGACTTTTGGATGGTTCAACTGTGTTGATTTAAAAAAGTAATCACATTTGGATGAGGATTTATTTGGGATTCTCGAAAAACACGTGGAGATCATTTTTCTAAGGTTTTATCTTGTTTGTTAAGTTCAGTGCTATGCAATCCTTACCTAAGACACACATAGCTTAATTTGCACTCTTTTTGAACCGTTTCTTAGGACCAACGTGGTTATAACATCCAAATCCATTGAGGCTACCTCAAGTTGACCCAAAAATCAACCTTACCAATTTCTTAAATTTTTGATTATTAAGTTCAATGGCTTAAAACCTACAAAAACTAAACTTCAAACTTAATGACCTGTTAATTAAGACATTTATGGTCACATACTTAATTTTTTATCAATTTTCTAACTCGCATTAAAATTTAAATAAACAAAAAAATCGTAAAATTTTCAGTATAAAAACATCCAACTTAAATCAACATTAAGTCTATCCTTTCAAAAATGTTAAAGTTTATAATTCTTCCAGTCATTCTTATTGCTTTGGCACAGGCAAATGTAGTTCCAGAAGCAGTAGTACGAGTTGCTGGAAGCTTCAATGCTGGAAAATTAAAGCCAAAATGCTTTACAACACTTCAGTTCCACTAAAGTCATCACATCAGGCAATTGTGTAACAAATCCACAAGATGGAACTGCCACAAACATTAAATTCTCATTTGGTGGGGTAAATAATAAAAGAACTAAAGGCTATGGAGTCAGTAAAATTGCATTAGCTCCTGGATACAACTATGCAGTTAGAAACTCAAGCAATGATCTTGCAGTTGTGACACTTACCAAGGCAGTCAAACTTACTCCTCAAATTCAAACTTCTGCTCCATATTTTAACAGCACTCAAGATGCATTTGTTGGACAGAAATTGCTAGTTTGTGGATTTGGATACACTGATGATAAGAATAAGAATTCAACATCTCTTAAATGTGCTTATCTGACTGCTGTGGGTGCCAGTGTCTGCACTTCAAGAACGACAAGTGAGAAATTTTGAAGATTTAGGAATTTTAAGGCTGATTTGAATTTCTTTTGACAGCTACTGTAGGTTCTACTACAACAACTGCTGGAACTACGACAGTTGGAGGTGCAACAACAACGGTTGTTGGAATTACAACGGCGGCACCAGTAACTACAGTTGCTCCAGGTTAGTATAAAACTTAGTCAAACCTTTAGCATTGGGTTATTCACTTATGACGTCCATCCAAGTCTTGGAAACTCAGGATTAATCCTGAAAAATCCCCAAAATCCTTTTAAATCCCGAAGTTATTCATCAAATGCTTCAAGGATTTAAAAGGGTTTTCACATTTCTATGTTTATTGGCTCAAGGATTCTTTAGGATTTTTCAAAATTAGTCTTGAGTTTTCACGCCTTGCGTCTATCATTTTGGGGAAGTGGGGTTAAAATTTGATGATGAACAATTAGTGATCCACAACCACGAGTAAGGAACCTATCAATTAATTTTTAATCATATTTTATCAATTTATGATAAATTTTGATTAATTTTAATCATTGCGACCAGTTCCCCTCCCTTGTCCTAACCTAAAATATATTTTATTGCTTTTCCCCTTTAAGCCACAACAGCAACGACATCATCATCAAGTCAAAGTGGTGAGTTCATCCCTTCCATCAAAGATAAAGACTGTCAAACTGAAAAAAATCACCCTTTAGGTCTAATTATATGTGCACAAGGTGACGGCAAGTCTAATGTCTGTCGTGGTGATGAAGGTTCTCCAGTTTTTGCTCAGATATCGGATTCATGGACGCTCATTGGCGTTGTGTCGAGTATTCCAAACAGTAAGGCATGTCTGGATAATCATAATGTAAAAATTACTCAACTTGGTGGATTTACTAGCTTTATAGCATCTGCGTAGGGTTGTGATGTGAGCGAGGGGGAAACAACGTGATTAAGAAAATGTCATCAATTGGAAATTTCTGTTTTCGTGTCAAACTTTGGTCAAAATTTTCATTTGAATTTTTTTTACATTATGTTATTTTCCCCTTCATGCTGTTTTCCCCTTCATGCTGTTTCCCCCTCAGTTAAATGAAATTTTTATTGAATTAAAATCCTGTGGAATTTTAAAAAATTAATAAAAATAATTGCAAAAAAAAATCAAAATTTTTGTCACATTTTCTTCTTCACAATCATTGCAACTACGTGGTCTTATTTACATCAATTCAGTAATTCAGTTCATTTCATTCCAGTTCAAACCATTCACATACCCAAAATATATCCAACTTATTCCATTTTATTTTCATAACTGATCTTCACTCCTCATTCGTTCGCCGACCGTCGTCGAGTAAACAAATAAAAAGAAATTTTTCTCGCTTTTGTTCAGCAAAAGAATTTATTTTGAGAAAATTATCTGAAATTATGACGACTTTGTTGATTCCTGCTGGCATTGCTGGTGGTCTTTATTTGATACGGAAGCAAAGGGAATATTCATGGGGTGAGTAAATGTCAGGAATTTGATTTTTTTGGGTAACATATGGAAGTGAAATTGTTAATTATTGTGGATTAAATTTTGTGAAGTTTGAGTGGATTTGAGGAATATTGAAGGAAGTTTGATGGAATTTGTGTTAATAATTTAATAATTTTGAGGAATAAGATGGAAAATATGGCTGTTAAGATTGTCAGTTAAGCAACAGATTGAAGAATTTATAAAGAACTTTGAATGTAGAACAGAACACAAACTTGAGGATTTATCAATTTTAACATTAAATCAGAATTTTTTTGATGGACTTTGGACTTATTTTTGTGATCAAATAATTAATTTAATATTTTTGTTAACTTAAAATTGCTTAATTGTCATCAAATATGGAAAAATCGTTGAATCTTGTGTTGATCAGCATTATTAAGTAGCACAAATAATTGTTTTACGTTTTTGTACTTCCAAATTGTCTGTTCCACTTACATTCTCGTACATTCCAAATGTGTACAAACAATTTCAGTGCTTTTTTGAAAAAAAAAATGATGAAAAATCGAATTAAAAAACTGTCAAAATTTGATGATGCTTAACTGATTCAGACACGATTATTTAATGATATGCACACTTTTTTATTCAAAATTCTTGATAATCGATACCTTATTTATAATATGCAAATTTGATCAGAACCAAATTGACCTTCAACCCACCCCTTCCCCCTCTTTCCCCTTTCCCATTCTCCCTCCCCCTTCCCCTTTTCCCCCCTCTCTCCTTAAAACTCACTCAAATCGTCTCCTTTCACAAAATTCATTAATTAATCTTAATCATTCCCCTCCAATTCCAGGCTGGGTCAAGAAACCTCACAACCTCGAAGGTAAAATCTTCATCGTAACAGGCGCCAACACAGGACTCGGCTATGAAGTCACAAAGTTTCTCATAAAATGTGGCGCAACTGTGATTCTCGCATGCAGAAACCTTGACAGAGCTGCAGCAGCAATGAAAAAGATCCGCGAAGAGACCAGAAATGGAACAATGATTCCAATTGAACTTGATCTTGCTAGTTTTGAGTCAATTAGAAAGTTTGTTGGAATTATTAAGGAAAAGTATCCAAATTTCCAATGTTTAATCAACAATGCTGGATTGGCTGTTCAGACTGAGCAGACAACAATTGAAGGAATTGAGTTGCATACAGGAACTAATCATATTGGACCATTTTTATTGACAAACTTACTACTTGATGATATTAAGAAGAATAATGCTCGAGTTGTGATTGTTTCCTCAAAGATGCACGAACGTGCGGAAGTAGATTTTGAGAATTTCGGTAAATACACTGAAAAGCCACGTGGTGAAAGGTCCAATCATCTTTACAACAACAGCAAATTGATGAACTTTTACTTTGCCAAAGAACTTTACAAGCGTGGAATTGACGTTCATGTTTGCTGTCCAGGGTTGTGCAACACTGACTTCTTCCGTGATTATGATCCAAAATTCTATCATTACATCCTCTTCTCACCAGTCATTCTATTCATGTTGAGATCAGCTGAGCAAGGTGCACAAAACATCATTCATTGTGCATTGGACAACCTGAATAGTGACGATAAGAATCCAGACAAGTCACACATTGTGATTGATTTAAAGCAAGCAAAGTCAAAAGTTGACTTGAGTGACGAAGTTTCGGAAAAGTTGTGGATCGAAAGTTCTAAACTTTGTGGATTAAATTAAAGGATGTTGGATATTTGTGCTTATTGTGGCTTTTCTCAATTGTCAATTTAATGGGGAGGGTTTTGGGGATCAATGGCTATGTCTTTATAGACACATTCTCGAATAGCACAAGTCGGTCAATTGATTAGTAATCTGGCATCTAACCAGTGTGACTGTGGCATGATGTTGACTACGATTTAAATCCAGCACAATGACAAAGTCACGCTGGATTGGAGTTGGGTTTCTATTCGATTAATCGAGTTGTGCTATTCGGAATTATTATATTTTTACTATTTTGAGGCATAACTTGGCTATGACATGTGGTAAGTTGTGAGAATTGCTATTCTATAAGTTTAGACTTGCTAGATTCAAGATTGCTGGGTAAATTAGGGTTGGTTGCTTGTATTATCTAAGGCTATGGACTATGTTTGGTGTACACTCTAAGTTACAGCTTGATTGTATCTTTGGATTATAAATTAGGACTCATAGGGTGAAACTAGCTATCAGTTTGTATGAGGATGAGTCTGGTTTATTCAATGGAAATGTCGGGTTAACCCTTTAGTCACGAGACACACTAGCTTAAGGTATTACTAAGGTATATTAAACTATAGACTATAGAGCATAGACCATCCCATAGGCTACAGGTTTACCAAGCATCAGACTCCAAGATTCTAGCCCATACCTTAATATTTCCTAAGTTCAGCAGGATTCCAGCATTTCTAACAGTTCCTAAAGCATAAAACTCAACAATTTGCCTCATGTCACTTGAAATGTCAGTATTATCGCAGAGCTTCAAAACACTAATGGTTGTAACTGTTGGCTATAATTACTTTAATATCCTGTTTTATTGAACATTATAAATAAAATTATTAAAAATAAAGGAAGTACTCTTAATAAATTCCAAAAATATTTTATTCAATATTTAAAACCAGAATCGCTTTGGCCCAGAATCGAGTGCGATTCAAATGTTTTGTGGACGCCCTACGCTTTATAGTAGAGCAATAGAAACCCATCAAAACCAGAGCTTGAAGACGATGAAATTTCATATCGAGTCAAATCGATTAGAGTCGATTCCGCCATACAAAATAGATGAAAATCTCGAGTCGACTTCAAGTTCTGTTCAAAAAGAAATTAAAAAAATCTCAAAACCAGCTTCTATTATTTTTAACACATCTACTCATCCAGCTCGCATGACTGAACAAAAATTTGTCGAACTTTTAATTTCTTTGGCTTTAATCGCTTAATCTTCTGATGTCTATGAATGATGTAGTAAAGTGCACCTCTTTGGTACTTTCTATCCTTTGACTTCTTGTTGTACGCCAGCTGATAAACGCAGTTCCTTAATCTTCGTGCTGAATAAGACAGATATAATTCTTTCAAGCAGTTTTGAAAGCAAATCTCAAGGAACAACACAAAAGTTGCCAAACCGCAGCCAATGAATAATATGCTAAACACTTGTAGAAGATCTTCGAGTTTCAGGTACTCCAGCTCATCAGATATTGAATCAATTGTCTTTATTTCTTGATCTGACATAATTTTCCAAATGTGAGGTAGACCAGCTTGAAATGATAAATCCATAAAATATTGAAGTCTATCAATGAATGGATTTAAATAGCTTGCTTCCAATCTAATAAAGTTCCATACTAGTTGTTCTGGGAGCAAATAATAATAATCTGATTGTACTTTTCCGTTTGGCAATGGATTCTTTAATCCATGTGTAGCAATCATACAGTCTCTAATGAATATGTAATGCTGTCTTTCTATCTCCTTCTGATACTCCTTCATACCTAGATTCTTTACTATCCTAGCATTCGATAGCATTTTATCAAATCGCTTGTCATCCTTGACACTAAATGCAAATGCATCATCTGTAATGACGTCATAATTAGCTTCAATAAGCTCTTCGACAGTCTTCATTCGATTGTCATGAAATGGTTGAATCATGAATGCAGTTATGACACCTTCATAAGCATTACTGAGGACGAATATCATTAAAACTATCAATTGGATCAGAATCATCAAGACCATTCGATTCTGTCGTGAGAAATCAACACCTTGACCAATAAAATACACAAACATTCCATAGCCTAGCAGCCATGGAGAGTCAACAGCACCTTTATTTTGAAATAACAACCAAACAGCAACAGAACAAACAACAGACAGTGCAAGGAACATCCAAGTGTATATGTCAAATGGTTCAATGAAAATGAGCTGAAAAAGTGGAGTTTTTGGTGGAATTGGAACTAAAGCGCAAAAGCTCTCCTTCTCATAAGTCAACAACTTTGGTTCTGGAGTGTCAAAAAATGTTGCTGTGTTCAATGTCAAGTCCATTTGTCTACGAATCCAAAATTGCTGTAAGAACTTTCTGTCTGTCAGAACTGTCACTCTGATATTTGAGTTTTGGATGGTCCGGATAGCAACAAATAGAAGAAATAATGGCGTAGGAATGGACCTTTTAATTACCAAATGTGGATGTTCCTCAAATATGACAATCTCATAAGTCATTCTCTTCATGTCTTTCAGCTTGTCGGGAAAAATCTGATGAGCATTTGAAATTTGATTTAAAGATCCAATCTTCTTGTCTAGTGACTCGATGAACTCATATTGAATGATGCCATTAATATCTGTATGAACAATCACAACATTAAGGAATCCGGAAATTGAAAAGCCTTGAAGGATTAACATGCGATCATTTAGACGAAATGTCTTAGGTACAATGCAGATGATTTTGGCCATGTGATGCCAAACAGTTGAAACGTGGTGCTTGTTGACTAATGATGTAATTAAGTTCTGTTTAAGGAAGGATAATTTTAGTTGAGAGTTCATTTTGGGAGACTTAACTGCTGTATCAATTAAGGTTCGATTAGGGGGAACGCTAAGGTTATTAATCCTAAAGAACAAAAAGCCATTTAAATGCCAGAGAGAAAGTCATTGTACTAGCAAAGAAACACAAGTTTGTAACATCACCATTCCCTTGGTTGGAATCCTCAAGGGAAGAGACGTCAGGAAGCTCCAAAAGCAACTTGTCGCAGATCAGTGATGAAAGAATGTCAGCTTAATGTGCGGACATACAAATTGTATAAACTAGGTGACAGAGCCAGCAACAGAGTCAACTTAGGAACATGGTTACATTAAGTAAGTAAGTAAGTAAGCACAAAAGCCAGATAAAACGATAGTGTGGCCAGCGGTGCTTTACAGTAGGCTTGATTTGAAACTAAGTTGTCAACAGCTCAACCTCAAACAGGACCTCAAACCAGGCGCGTAGCCAGGGGGAGATTTGGGGTATAAATCCCCCTTTGTATTGAGAAATTTCTTCGTTTTGCTAGAGTTTTTATGAAAAACTTGAAAAACATCCCCCCTCCCCCCCTCCCCCTAAACGTTTTCCATACAAAAAAAATTGTCCCCCCATCTTCAAATTCCTGGCTACGCCCCTACCTTAAACTTAACCTTTAAATAGCTTAAACTCACCTGACTTAACCACTCGAAAGTCAATATTATAACAGAAGCTTTCCTTAACTTCTTTTCCTTGATCACATCCTTGAAGTCAGTTATAACAATCGCTATGTCATCATCAATACACTGAGCTACATCATTGACTATTAATGACCAAGTCTTGGTACCAAAATTCGCAACTAGAATGTCCTGGGTGTAGTTTTGAGACTTTATGATGTCATTTGTGATTTTACAGATACTTTTTGACAGCTTTTGATCGTCAGGATTGGAAACTAGGGAGAATTTTGTGCTGACTGCTGAGTAAATAAGAAGTGAAATTATGATTAACTTGGTAAGCAACATCAACTTTAACTGTTTCAATTTAATAAGTTCCAGAAATTTGTAATTTTTTTGCAATGGTTCAAGTCGTTGTCATAGAATCAACAAGTGTTGATGCTCGCATGTAATCCATGGAGATCAAATGAGTATAGTAAATTTTTGCTTATTTTTATTAGCCAAACTCTCAAATTTGGTTTTTATTTTTAGAATATTCTATAAGAACTTGGGTTTCGTACGGTAATTATCGAGAAATCGAAACCTAAACCCAAATGATTGTTTATTTAATTTATAGGAATGCCGAGTTTGTTGGCGTCAATATGCATATAATTGATAAATGTTTTGGCTGCTCACATGACGAATGACGTAAATATCTAATATCTAAGGAAGAATATTCAGTTTAGAAAAAAAAATCACCACAAAAAGTCATTTAACTTCACTATCTGTGGATTTCTTGATAATAAACCAGTTCTTCAACATCAAAATTAAAATTTTGCATCTAATTTATTCAAAAATGTTTTCTCATCTTTTTGATTCTCTTATAAATGTCAGTGCCTCACAAGATCTCTAAGAGAAATGACAAAGTTTGTATCAATTCTTGTAGTTTCTGCTTTTATTTCTGTGATTAGTGCCAAAATATACTCAAAATGTGAATTTGCTAAGGAACTTTACGTCCAACATCGACTAGAAAAGGATGATATTGGATATCATATGTGTGCTGCTCGTTCTTATTCTAAATACAACACTCAGTACAAATCTGAAAATTTCTTAGGTATTTATAGAATCGGAACTCAGTGGTGGTGTGGTGAAAATGGACCTGGTGGGCTCTGTAATGTTAAATGCTCTAACCTCATTGATGACTACTTAGCTGATGATATTAAGTGTGTTAAAGAAATTATTAGAGTTCATGGTGTTGGCACCTGGGGACTTGATAGAAACAAGTGTGATCAGGACTTCAATGACATGGAGAGATGTTTGAGGAATATACCGTAAGTATCGCTAAAGTGTAGGTAATGTTATGTGAAATTACTAAACATTCGTCTTTGCATCCCTCCACCAGATAATTGTGACAACACCAAAGTCACTGCCACTTGTGGACGACCATTTCAAATCCGTGGAGCTGTTATAGGAGGAAGTAGCTTGTCGCAGTCACAACGAGGCTCATATCCATGGTAAGGATCATACATAGTTAATTGATATTAATCTATAATACTCTCAATGTCAGGCTTACTGCCCTCATCTCTACATCCAATGAATACTTCTGTGGTGGAGTTATTATATCCAAAAATAGAGTCGTAACAGGTAAGAAAGCTTCAATTAAGCCCTCAAATAATTAACATAACCTCAAAAATATTCCAGCTGCTCACTGCTTACTCCCAAAAGGATCAAATCATCAGCTCCTTCCAAAAGATGTGAGAATCTTACTTGGTGCTTACAATTTGAATGATCCATTTGAAGTAGGAAGATCTGCAGTTGCAATTGAGAAGATCCGGATGCATCCAGATTGGAATCCAAATACTCAACGATATGATGGGGATATAGCAGTGCTGCATTTAGAATCTGATGCACAATTTAACAGATTTATTCAGCCAATTTGTTTGTTGTCAAGTAATACAAATGTTTCAGCATTCAATGAAGGAATTGTTGTTGGATATGGGATCGGGTCTGCAACATCAAGAACTAATGAGAACATCCCAAAAATAATAAAATTGCCAATTCATAAGAATGAAGATTGCTACAGACATAATAAGGAATTTGCTCGAATTTCAAGTTCAAATACATTCTGTGCTGGAACTGGAAGTGGCTCTGGTGTATGTTCTGGTGACAGTGGAAGTGGATTGTATGTAAAATATGGAGAAACTTACTATCTGAGAGGAATTGTGTCTGCATCATTTTTTACGTCCGAAGGAACCTGCGATGTTAATGATTATGCTGTTTTTACAAGTGTCAATGATTATTATAATTTTGTGGCTGGATTTTAAAACTAAAGCTGTCTCTATGACTTTCGGAAACATATATCCTGGCTATATTTGGTTGTTTATAAGACTTTATAGAAATCGGAACTGAATCTTTTTTTCAAAAATGTCTTAAATTTATTCAATAATTCCTTTTATGTTTACCTTCCAACAAGCATAGCATGAACTTCCTCAGGCTTCTTACTCAACAACTGGTCAGGATTTGGATATTCTCCAGAATGAATCTTCTCATAAAGTTGCTTATAAATTGCAGCAATGACACTAAAAGCTCTCTTTTGAACAATTCCTGCATAATTTGTGCTTTGCAGCAAGTTGACCTGTGGAAGGATCAGCATCTCTGGACATTCAATAAACGAGTCAAGCTTATTCATGCACATCTTTAAATGATGAATGTCAAGCTTATTGTCACTTTCTATTGGACTCTGCAAGACTGTATAAATAGGTCCAAGATTCAAATTAGCAACAATGCTGCTTGCCTGCTCACTCGTCAATGTCTCAATCTGTGCATCAGCCTGTCCATTCAGTCTTTCCATGCGCTCATCAATAAACTCATAGACACCAAGTGTGCTGATTATTTCATACAAAACATTCAGGAAGTAGACAGCCATGTCTATAGCTGGTAGATGTGTAATCTGTTCAGTCACAGTCAGCAAAAGCGGATCAATGACAACACCAACAATTTTTTGGATATCCTGTTGCCTTCCTTCGACCATATTAGCAACATTCAGAAGCTCTTTGAGCATATTGAGGAGCCTCTTGACTGCTGGTGGTGCAATCAGCATGTCTGACTGTTTTAGGTCCTGTTGGGTGTTCAGGATGTCACGAACATTTTGTGTTAATGAATTTAGATAGAACTGCTCAGATATTCTCTGGACTTCATTAAGGGTATTTTCCAGCTGTCCAGTCTTGACCATTCCTCTAATAATATTGTAGTAGAACCTGACTAGATTGGCTATGGAATAAAGCACAATTGTGTCATTGACTGTATTTAATACTGTATCAATCCTAACACGAAGTGGATGTGCCACACCATCCGCAATATTTGCTAATGCACCGTCAATGACTTCAGTCAAGTCATTCTTATCGCAGTTCCTGCAGAGGATTAATAAACTTTCACGTTCGTTGTGGATTGCTTGATGCAGCCATGCAAAGATGTCAGCAATGTATCTTTTCGAGTCATGGACATGAAATTCGATTGGTTTGTTGCCATGCTCACCAATAGTCAGTGCCTCAATGAACACTTTGACAAGAACTGATCGTCGATTTGTTGAAAATTCATCAATCACATACTTAAAGAGAACTGGACGGTCCTGAAGCTTTGACATTGCCATAATTATTAAATTTGTCAGTTCATTGGATACATCGAGGTTCCTACAATGTGATTGTGTCCATCTGTAGAGTCTTTCTAGCCCTGCTTCTTGATGCATTGCCATTTCCTCCATTATGTCCATTGCTAGACTCTCAAATCCATTTTGAATTAAGGAACGACATTCATTGTGAATTGACTGGACATGCTCGAGGACTCGGAAGAATTCAAGGGAAATTTTCTCATCTCTGGTGGTTCCGTAAAGGATCTGATGATCAGCATGGGATAGTTGGAAGTGAGACAAGAAAGCTACAGCAACATCATGATGAACTTGAAGCTTTGATCTTTCAATCTGCAAGTCATTCGTCTGATTAATCAATTCATGAGTTTGTGTCTGTGTTTGCTGTAAAGTTTCTCGCATTTTAGTGACTGACTTGTTCATGGAATCAACTTCCGATGACAGAGAATCCAGCGACACTTTTACACCTCGGAATGCAGCTAGGAATTTTTTGTTAATTTCTAAAGAACGTCTTTCAATTTGTGAACGGAGATTCCGGCGGGAATCAAGTGTGTTGTCAGTGAAGAAGGTCGATAAGTCTTTAAGGCTGTCCACAATTTCCTACAAAAAAAAGTATATTTTTTTGATGACGTGAAAATTGAGAATTGAATTTTAAAATTTACCCTGTCAGTGTCATATCGAGTCTCGAATATTTTGTTGAGCTTCTGCTGGACGTGGTCGATGTCTTGTTCGTTCGGATCCGGCATTTTTTGGTACTGACTTGCTCTTGATTGAAGTTGAAATTTTAATTTTAAATTCTGTTTTTGATTGTTGTGAAAAAAAAAAGTTTTTGATGTCAACAAATATGAAGTTGAATGCTCTGATTTGCTGCAAGGGTGAACAACTTGAATTTTAACGGTTATTTGAGAAATTATTTAAATTTCAATAAGAGGATGTTAATGTTTTTTTAAGGACTAGGAGCATGGTCAGTATTTTTTTTAAGCTGGTTCAGACCAAGGATGTGGATTTTGATCATTTTTGATCATTTTTGATTACTTCATCAGTACCATACCCTTGGTTCAGACCCTATCAAGAGGAAACAGGTTCTTAATCTAGATTTCAGTCAAACGAGGGGCTACGGACCTGCATTGAACCTCTTGCTACTCCTAATACCTCCTAGTCTTCAAAATCTTCAGTATCAAGTGTTAAAACAGCTTCAGAGTATCCGCACTCCCCCAAAACTGGAGACATCCCACATGAATGTCCCCCAAATTTTATTTACACAATTCATCTAATCCCCAGAATTAATTGATAACTCAATAGTGCTTCTTACCGATAAAAATTCTTATCATTTTTTTTTTCTCAATGAGATTTTCTCAGATTTTAGATTTCTCAGTCTTTCGTGGATTTTTGACTCGATTTCTTGGTATCAACTTGAACATAATGTGGAAAATTTTGATATTTTTACTCTTTTTTGTCAAAATTTCATTGCAATCTGAAGCTGAATTGAGATTTGATAATGAGTTGTGTGATCGGCAGTTGGCGATGTTTAGGGAGGCTCTGGCAAGTCCTAGGATGGATTGGGCTGTGAGAAGTAATTGATTTATTTTAATTGAGACCCCAGACATTCATACTGATGAGTGTTTGAGCCTTCTTGATGAAGAAACAACCAAGTTGTAGCTCTTAAGTGGCACATCAGTATCATATGACACCTAAAATTCATTAATTGAACTATTTTCAGTGTTCGACTACTGGGGAAAGATTCAATCAGGATTAACCGTCGGCAACACAGCAAACTTTGGTCATTACGATGAATGTATTCAATTTTTACACGACACTCGAAACTTAAATGCTGGAATTATTCAAGGACAATATTGTATGATTAATCATCGTGCGACAGTAACGAAAAATGACACAGATTGGAATGAGAACTTTGATTGGCGGGAAGTGTGAGTTTTAAGCTTAATTATTTTGATTTTATTTGAGGGAGTTTTGGGGGGTGGGCTTAGTGATATTATCCAAAATTAGTAAATCATTTCCAAATTCCCTTATTAATAAGCTTCCAATTTTTTTATGCATTATTATCAGTGGCGCCTACGTCAGATCGCTCAACCTTAACCTTCGTAGTGGAATTTGCATTCCAGCATCATGTTCAGCATTAAAAGCTATCGAATTTGCAAACGAGTTCTTAACAACAGCCGACTTACTTGCAACCAGTGCAAGTTGTGACGTAAAAGATAGACACAGCATTAATGGTCTCGATGTATTCGCTATGTAAGTCTAGAAAAGAAATTGATAAGAAATTTATTTACTTTTTTGGAAACCACGCGATGAAAATTAATCTTTTGATTGCAATGCAAGTCAGCTGGATTTCTTTTCATTGACGGAATTTGATAAGAAAATTTACGAAAATTAATTAATTATTTTTTAGAGTTTTGTTTTCATTGTTTGTGGTTGTTGTGGCTGCAAGTACAATTTATGAGATTTATGCGACCAAAAACTCAAGTAAGCAACAAATTTGACTTTTTCTATCAAATTCTCAAATTTTCCTTAATTTTTAGAGTCACCAAGCAAGCTCCTCTCATCCTTCTCATTTTACACAAATGGCTATGAACTATTTGACGTCCAAAAGGATAAATCAGCATCGTCAATCAACAGCATGCATGGAGTTCGAGCGTTGTCTGTTCTTTGGGTAGTTATGGGACATCGTCGATTCTTTCATCTCATTTTTGCCTTAACAAATGCCAATGAAGTCAACAATTGGCTAGAAAATATCAGAACTGTAATATTCCAAACTGATCATTTGGCTGTAGACTCATTCTTTGTCATGGGTGGATTGTTGGTTGTTCTGTCATTCATCAAGGATCTTGAGAAAAGGAGAGCGTCACTGTGGAGGATGTACTTGAGAAGATATTTGAGATACACGCCATTGTTGGCCATGATCATATTATTTCAAGTCACATTGCTTAAGTTTGTGGTTTCAGGACCGACTTACAATTGGGAAGGTCAAGCTAGGAATTGTCAAACTAATTGGTGGGGTGCACTGCTGCATATTCAAAATTACTTGGATTGGACTAAGATGGTAGGTAGAATTTGTTGATACTTGGCTTATTTATTGCAATTGTTGAGCTTTCGTAATCAATATCTAAACTTATCAGCCAGACATTGCTGTAGCTATATTAAAGTTACTAAAATTCAAAATACCAAGACTAATCACTCTACATTATCTGCCTTTTCCAGTGTGTAGGGCACTCATGGTACCTGTCAGCTGACTTTCAACTTTTCTTAGTCTCACCACTGTTCATATTTGCAATCTGGAAGCTAGGCAGAAAACTTTTATGGATGCTGCCTTTAATATCATTAGTAACCGTTGTGTACATTTTTCTGATGGCTTACTTCTATGAAGTTCCGGTATTTTATCTTAAACTGTGAGTATTGATTGATGCTAATGGGCTACATGGGATACATTGGATTGTGGATTCAAAATCGTAGAATAGGGTTCTGGATTAGTCGTTGGAATGGTCTAGCCATTTGAGCTGAAAGTGATAATTGTGACTCAGTATGACTCAGGAGAGGAGCATATGTATACAAAAGCACTGACTTAATATAGTTCATACCTAGACTGTCCAAAAAATAGTACATTTACCGATTTCAGCACTGAAAAAGCGAGACAAACCAAATTTTATAGCATTTTCAAGAAAAAAAATTCAAAAAAGCAAGACTTTCAAGCTCAATATGCACAGTTAGAAAGCCAGCTTATCAACTGACTTAGCTTCCGTCTTTCAAGACTACAACATCTTTTAACCAATTTTTCTTCTGCAATATTTTATACAGGAATGCAGAAACAAGTGAGATTTTCCATCGATTCATCTACTTTCCAACTCATGCTAGGTAAGAACACCCATTTTATGCTACATGCTGTATTGCAAGATTTTTTAAATTTTTTAGGATGGGACCTTGGTTCATTGGAATGACTACTGGATATTTAATCTATAAAAATCGAATAGAAAAGTTTAAGTTACCCAAGGTGAGTCTTGATGTTAGCTGAACCTCAGGCTAGAGCCAGGGAGGCCAGGGAGGCCAGGAAGGTCTAGCCAAGGGAGGGGGATCTGGGGATAAATCCCCCGTTGACGTTAACAGAAATTTTTTCATTTTGCTAGGAATTTTATGAAAAAATCATAAAAATCCCCCTCTACCCTCTGAATTTTCCATCTAAATTTTTTTCCCCTCCTTTTCATATTCCTGGCTATGCCCCTGACCCACTCCATACCCCTTCCATCAGTACATCCTCTTAAATAATTATTTTAAAAGTCTAAAAATTGAATTTAATCAATAAAAATTGCAATTCTTTAACAGATTTTCTTCACAATCATGTGGATCATCGCCCTATCAACAATCTTTGCAGTCATTCTCGGATTCTATCCATTCATGCAGATGAACAACAACACAACAACAGTCTTTCAAAATGCATTTTACCTAGCAACTTTCAGAAATGCATTTGCATGCGGAGTAGCTTGGATCATATTTGGATGTGAAAATGGAACTGGTGGAGTTGTTAGATGGTTCCTGTCATGGCCACATTGGCAGCCTATATCAAGGATGGGACTTAGTGTTTATCTTATTCATCCAATTTATCAATCAATTGTGATTTTTGGACAAAATCAGCCGATTCATTTTGATGAAATTACTTTTGTTCATGCCTACTTTGGGGATATCCTTGTTGTTCTAGTACTGAGTACAGTATTGTATCTGACTTTTGAAGTTTCATTCGCAAATATTGAGAATTATTTCTCATACAATAACATCAACAAAATAAATTCAAATAAACTATTTTAATTACGTTTTTCTAACTCAGGTAGATTATTTTATTATAAATTGGCATTAAGCTTTCCAGAAATTATCAATTCAAAGTTGAAAGTTAAAGTCATAATTGATTAACTCATAAAATATGGATTTTATAAAGACAAAATTAACAGCTCGTCGGAATTACAACAAATTCGACAGTTCTGGTGAAGAAAAAGTTAAAAGAAAGTTTATCGATGGTTTTAGAGAAGCTTCTAGAGCGTCAATCAGTCAAGTCATTGATAATCAAATTTTCGACTCACACTCACATGAGAACAGCAACAATCATTGGCAAAATCAATCTACTTTTGGTGACAGAAAACGCAAACTCGCTGACAAAAATCCAAAAAATCAGAGAAAAATCGTAAAATTCAATGAAAATTCTCAAATTGTCAAAACAAGTCCGAATTCCATATTGAATGATTATAAGCCGAACTGCGTCACAAAAAATCTAAACTATTCAGAATTTGAAGTAACAAAATCAACCAAGAAGGTCCCAAAAATCCCAAACTTTGATGAAATTGAAAATATTTTTGATGAACCGAGTCAACAATTTTTAGAAAAAGTGCCCAAAAATAAGTTTTTGAGAATTAAAAAAAATCCAAAATATTTAAAAAGTTTACAAAACTCAAAAACAATCAAAACTAAGACAATCTCAACATCTAGTCATGAGAATATTGAGAATCTCCAATTCTCAGACACTTTTAAAGCCTTAAATACTGAATCAACCTCAACAGTCACAAGTTTGAGGCTACCAAGAGAAGTTGTACTGAAATCAGCAGATATTTCACTTAAAAACTCAATCCGACTAAAATTAAAGTCTGTTGGAAAAATCATCAAAGCTTTGAAGCCATCAAAAAGCTATCAAGTCCAACAAATTGAAGACACAACCATGAGAGTCAAAAAATTGTCAGACATGCCAAAATACCGACGAATCAGATCACAGTCAGTTGATGGAAGGATTGAGGAGGAACTTACAGCAGATTTGAGAGAGATTTTACAGGAATCGGCATTGAGGACGTCAAAAAGTAGTGAAAATTTTTATGATATTGTGGATTATGAGGCAGTTGACTTTGAAAATGTCTATGAGGATGTAGGCTCGAAAAATGACAATTATAACCTGAAAATTGAGGCATTTAATCCACAAAAGTTCATTATGGAAAATTTGGATCAAACACAGGACTTAGTAGATCACAATTTGAGTTTCATGGTAAGCAGCAATGCATCAACCCCAAAAAGAGGACAAGTTAAGGAAAATGTAACTTCAAATCATCAAAATAAGCTTAGAACCTTCCACACAAGTCCATATGTCAGTAAATTCGCAAGATCAGTACATAAATACAGTCAGAATAAGAGCTTCATTGACATGACTTTTTTGAATGACGAAACATCGATGTATATCCAAGAATCGGAACTTAATGGATATAGAGACACGTCTGAGAAGTTTAAACCATCAATATCAGGTCGAAAATCATACAAATCAAGCAATGAGTTCAGAAATATTGCATCATATACTGAGATTACTTACGATATTGTCAAAATGAACCGAAGTATTGAGAAGAGTCTGCAGGATGTTGAACAAGGTTTGTCATACGTTTCAGCAGATAGTCAAGCATTTAGCATCAAAAATCAAAGTTTGACCCCAAGAAGCTTGAATTTCACAAATATTCAATCAAGTTTGGACATCCTTGCAGTAAATCCGAGCAGATTGACATCACATCCATCAAGGTTCGCGCCAAAAATGACTAGTTTTGAGGCTAGTTGTCCAAAAACTGAGCCAGCAACATTATCAAGTCACACCAACCCTCCAGATGTAGTCAAAATGATAAACTTTGAGGTTAAACAGCAAAAAGATTTAAAGACTGAGCAGACCAACCAGAAATCACTTGAAAACTCAACAATCGATTCACTACGAAGAGAAATTGAGGATCTAAAACTCCAGATCCACCTTAAAGACCTCAAAATCGACCAACTTGAAAAATGCGAAAAACTCAAAAACAAGCAAATTGAAAAAATCACAAAAATTGCCGAAAAAAAATTCTCAGAAGTTCAAAAACGAGAAAATTTGCTGAAAATCATCAAAATTCAAGCTGAAGTATCAAACAATGTTGCAAAAATCAAAACAGAACTAAGCATGAAGTCACTGGAAGTTGAAAAATTGAAAGAAAATTTGACAAAAAAGAACGAAAAATTTGCAAAAATTGGGAAAAAATTAAAGTCCAAAAATTCAGAGCTGGAAAGTCAACAGCTTAAAATTGAGGAACTACAAAAAACATCAAATTTGCGATCAAAAGAACTTGCAGTCATGGCTAAATGCTGGGAAGAATCACACGAATTTGCATGCACGCTTTACGAAGCCAAACGAGACGAATGGAAGCAAAAATTGCTGGATTTGAAGAAAGTCATCAACAATTTAGAACTTAAAGTTGACAAAGAGGAACCAAAGTTACTCAAAACTCTTAAAAAGAGGACATTCAGCACATCAGCAAAGCCAAAAGATGTCAATGAAGTTACAAAAAAATTTATTCATAAAAATTTCGAAGCTGAAATGGTGCCAAGGCTCATAAAACGCTTAGACAGCATTAACCTGGCTGATAATGAGGACAATATTGGAACCAAGAGGAGTAAAATGTCGACCGACTTAGGAAATGTATCGTTTTGAGGCTTAGATGACTTTGAAATAAATATTTTATTTGAACAATTGTTTTGTACATTTTAGACGTGAATTGAATAAAAGTATTTTATGGGAAAAATATTTAGCACAACTTGAATTTCTTGCGGCTTTCTTTCAGTAAGAGACTTAAGCGTCCATCAAACTGATCAAACATCCAGCAGATTATTTACATTGACTTAATTGTTGTGAGATATAAAATATCATGAAGAGGTTGAATGAAAGTCGATGAGATCAGCATTTTTGGGTGGATGAGGAATGTGCTTTGGTTTCTACAGCCACCCGGTTTACCTGACCCTAGTTTCAGATCAGGCGTATAGCCAGGAGGATCTTGTTTCCCTTAAACGCTTTGAACCACAGCGATAGCACGGCCTAAAACGCTAAAGAAGGGTACAAAACCCTCTTGGCTACGCGCGTGTCTCAGATCAACTTTATTTACAACTTCCCCCCTCTCCCCAGTTATTGTACATTGAATTCCATTTCTACTCTATGGAACTTCGAATGCCCTAGAAACTGGCAATCGTATGGATAGGTGAAATGGCATCAGGGGCCTTCCGTACCAAAGGTCTTGAGTTCAATCCCAGGCCATGTCAAAATTTCGAAACTCTTTTTCCATTTCACCGTTCTAGTTCCGAAGTTCGGTTCGTGTGTTGGCTTTAGTATTGATGTCTTTAAGCATAGAATATGCCTCCTTTGCTAGGTGTACAAGGATATACTAGCATCTGGATGACTTCCTTACGGCATCTTGCGCACACGAATTGTGACTAGGTCCATTGTAGGGTACATGAGGTCTTATGACGTACTCGTGTCTTTGTAATGTGCAGAGCTTGCAAGTGGATCGGATTCAACTATAAACTGTAGGTCTAAAAGGTATGGTACAATAGTGTTTTTTGTATTTAAATCACTTGGTTTTTACATTTAAATATTTTTATTGAACTGTTTATTATTAAAGTTAATTGATAACTGTATCGTATAAAAGTTAAAGTTAAACTGTACTGTTCTTAAATCTAACATGCTATTTATAGTCTGAATCTATAATTGATAACTGTAAGATGACACCCAAAGGTGTCATCTTACGTTATCATTACTCATGGACTCATGACTCATGTGAACTATGATTCATGTATGTCCATGACTCATAAACTTGTAAAAAAAATAATAAAGTATAGATAAACTTAAAACAATTTCCGGGGGCGCTTTATTCTTCTTTTATTCCTTCGGATGAGACTACAGTTGTGCTTTGACTGATAGTTGATGAGGCCACTGATGGGTTGCGGATAAAAGCTTCCAATGTTGGTAGTTGAAGTGCTGCTGCGTTCATTGTCGTTCCATTTCCACCGTAAAATTGCTCTCCTGCTTTCTTTAATATTTCTGATATTATGTTGTTATGCAAGTTCCATTTTTCGTAATGCTTGCCAGATTCCATAAGTAGTTGTAGTTGATATGGCAGCATTCGACCAGTTTCTTTGCGATAAATGTTGCCGATTAGCTCCAATGCCACTTTCTTGTGCTCATAAAGCATTGTGAGAAGAGCTATATGCTCTATGTGCTTGTTGTTTATTGCCGTATCAATATGTTCACGCATATTGTTTTTGAACGTTTTTATCAATTCCTCGTTGTGTTGATTCGTTTTTTGGAGGATCTCGATAGTGGCTGCATCCGCTTTTTTTTCTTCTTGAAGCGATTTAATGGTGTCCAATAATTGCTGTGTATTGTTCGGCATATCAATGTTGATATCTAATACACGTAGTTTTGTAAGCAATATAGTTTTGTCACATACTGAGCACACCTTTTTTGCACCTCGAACTTGCATATTGTCAATGCAAGCACGGTGAAATGCATGACCACAATTGGTCAGAAAGACGGCGCGGTTGTTGCATCCTTTGCATTTGGCACATTTTATCATCACCATCACTATTTTTTATTGTTTTTATCTTTTGTGTTTCTATGAAGTCTTTAATTTCAAAAATAGATATTTTTTATTTTCACTTATATATTTTTTAGAATAAATCTTTAATGTTCAATCAATTTTTCACTTTCACTATTACTATAAGTTTTAGTTAATTCTTAATTGCTGTAGTTAGGGCTATTTATACTAGTTGAATGATTACTTGCCCACAGGTCGCTCCATTTAATAAAGGATGATTCGGGTCTTGTTGTTGTTTCTTTCGGCTTGCATATTTTATAGCATAACCCTGTAATAATTAATGTAATTACTAGGGCAGCCCATATTGCATACATAAACCATGGTTGTTTTGTAATGCTATTCCCGAATGCCTGTAATTGATCGCTGTTTAGAACTGATTCTAATTGTTGTGTTAATGCTGATGTGACGTCATGATGTTGTTTTTCAATCATGCTGAGATTATTTTTTAGTATGATTTTTGGGTATTCAATTTTTATGTTGCGAAGATCCAATGAGATATTTGATGCTAATGAAATTGATTCCTCTTGTGGATGTGAGAACATGTGTCGCTGAGTTTTGATCGTACATGCTGCTGGTAATTTGATCAGGTGTGCGAACAATTGTTGATTATTCATTGTTTTGTTGCCATCATTCTTTAAACAAGTGATGCTGGTGTCGTTTTTTTCATTTATAATGAGAATCTCTTCCCCCAGCTGGATAATTTCATCTTGAAGTTCCTTCACCTTTGTTATGTCACAGGCTGTGGCATTTTCCTTCATTAGACTTTTTATGCATTCCGTTACTTTTTGCAACCTGTTGTCTTCATAAATGTCCTCATAAAAGTGTGTCAGATCATTAATCATCCCAAATGTTGAATTTTCCTCATCCATGATTATTTTATGACATAATTCACTGTGTTTGCTGATTTTTACTATGTCTCTGTTTGTAGATGGAATAGAAATTATTGCAATTTTTCTATATTTTGTGGATGAGACCATTGGAATGCTGTATTTTATGACAATTTCACCTTGCTGCAAGAGTTTTTCTTTAGTAGATATGCTGAATAAATCCATTGGGTCAGACAACTCCGGTATTTCTAAATTCTCGATATCTTTATGCTTTTTTAAGAGCTTTCTAACTTCATCCAATGGTTGCATGTTCGCAAGATCGAGATATTTTGATGTTACTAAAGCAATAATTTCTGAAATTTGTTGAACATCACTCTGAACTTGATTTTGGTTGGCAATTTTGTTCTGAATCATTTTGACTTCTTTAATTTTTGCATTAGACATTGCTGTTGCTTCATTAGTTATTTTATTGACAATGTCTGTAGCTTTTAAGAGTTTGTTTTGACTGTTCACAAGATCATCATGCAGCTGATTCATTTCAAATTGCTGATAAGTCATTACTCCTGCTGTAATTATATGGGGTGCTATAACCGCAAAACCCTTTACGGCTGCCCATCCCCAACTACGTTTTTTGCGTGTTGAAAATCCGCTTTCAAACGTCATGAAAGCTTGCTCAGCTTCATAGTGCAACAATTTTTTCCACTGATCACAATAGGTGTGTATTTCAGGGGCTATGTGTTTGCATGTATGAGTAAAGTTTCCAATTTTATTTAGTATAAATGTTTTGTCCTCTAATACATTTATTCCGGTTAATACCTTCACTGAAATAGCTGATGATAGTATTTGTGCATTTCCTAGCTCAATGGTGTGAATTCCTGGTTGTAATTGTGTTATTTGTGCATTAGCAACCTGCATTAGTGCAAGCCATGTGACGAGAACTTGAGTAGCTGTGATTTTTCGCTGACTTCTGAGTCTCTGCTTCAGCGGAACCGGAGCATCAATTTCCTTTCCGGTGTCAGTTTGCTGTTGCTTATCAAGTTGGATAGCATGGCCTTGAATTAATTCACGTTGTAGAGGAATGAGTTGGTTAACTGCATGCGTGTATTTCGTTTTTTGTGCATCTTCAATTTGTACTTTTCTTACTACACCATTTGGATCCGGAAAAACTTGCGTGATTTTTGCCAATTTGAATTGACCTGGCAGTAAATGTGGCTCTTTAACGATTACAACATCATTTATCTGCAAATTTTTTGCAGGTTTGGTCCATTTTGTCTTCTTTTGTAAAGTTACTAAATATTCTCTGATAAATTCTTTCCAAAATTCCTTTTGAAGTTGCACAATTTGTAGCCATTTGGTTGTTAGAGGCAATTTAGAGTTAATTGTCTCAATGGGATGTATCGATCCTGTTCTTTGAAGTACAAAATGAAACGGTGTAAGACTTAAGTTATTTAAATCTTTCTGACCGAGTGCGTATAATGGACGTGAATTTAAATAATACTCTATTTTGCACACGATTGTCTGAAATTCATCGATCGTCAAGTTTTTAATATTTTCCATCCGTTTCAAAAAACTTTTTAGGGCTCCAATTCCTGATTCCCACAAACCTCCCATACTTGGTGCAAATCGAGGGATAAACTTCCAATCCACCTCTTGTAATGCTAAGCTATTCTTTGCTTCACCTTGAATTGACTTCCATGTGTCCTTGAGCAGTCTATTGCATCCTATGAAATTTGATCCATTATCTGAATGCATGCATTTTGGCGTAGATCTTCTTGAGGCAAATCGAGAAAATGCTAATAGAAATTCTTCTGTAGATAAGGACTTGATAACTTCGAGATGGACGCATTTTGTCACCATACAAATAAATATAACTATGTAAGCTTTCATTGTTCGGTCAAATTTCAAAGATGATGCTCGAATGTTGAAATATCCACATAAATCCGTCCCTGTGTTCTCGAATACATTGGCTGGTTTAAGGCGCATTTCTGGAAGCTGGGCCATTTCCGGCTGTATAGGTTTTGACAACCATCTGGTACATGATGTGCATTGTGAAATTGCTCGATGAATGTTGGATTTTAAAGCAGGTATCCAATAATTCTCGATAATCAGTCGCTGCATGAGTGAATATTGTGCATGGAAATTTTTGAGGTGTATGTATGCCACCATTAGTGTCAACAGATGAGATTTTGGAATGATTATTGGTTGGATTTGGTTTATTGACAGGAACCTGGCATTTTGGAGCCTACCTCCTACTCGTAGCAACCCTTCCTTGTCGATAATTGGTGACAATTTTCGCAGGAAATGACCTTTAGGAACTAATTG